CAGTTAGTTGAGACAGATCCTCTGTTAGTGTTTGCGTGTAGAGGTAATGCTAAGTTTTAAATGGTAGGTGACGGTGATGTCAAAACATAAGTTTGTCCATACCTTATGCATTGATCAGAAACAGTAAACATCTTGCATATTGCTCTTAATTTATATTCCAGCTCCTTGTATTCCAGCTCCATGTTTAATATATGATGGGTGAATATTTTTCATTTTAAATCAGTGCTTTCTCGGTTTTATGAAAAGGTTGTTAAAATTAGCTTCAGCCTAATGTGGTATGCAAAGTTTTGACTTCATAATAATTTCGAAGTGCATTGTTGATCTGTTCTTAGAGTGTTCCAGTGTTCAGACAGAATTGAATGTAGGATGCTACTTTACCATCTCAAAGGAAAACCACTAATAAGATGACAAATTTTGAATGAACTAAATATGGTTTAGACTTTTGCTTGTCTTGGGGTAAAAATGTAACCACTGATGTAAGTATGAAAAAATTACTAATGGGAATGGTTGGAAATTACTTTACAGAAGCATTTCTGTCGGTTGTTGTTAGGTAGGCAAGATGAAACAGATGTGTTTACACTTTACACAGTGATTATGTGTTTGTTTGTCAAGTAATACAGCAGTCTGAATATATGTGAGTTGGTAGCTGCTCTGAATAAATGTGAGCTGCAAATTATTTTAAAGATTGTTAAAGGCAATTCTGGTAACCAATGTAAAATTATATGTGGGGAAGGTGCCTGCATAGGTCTTGCACACTGAATTACCCAGCTCTAGAACATGTTCTTCTGGGTTTTTTGGGGTTTTTTTTTTTTTTTTTTTCAGTAAGTAACTTAATCTGCTGGCCTCTTCTGTGAAAGTAGAACAGCTCTTGTGTGTTCCTGACCAGCAGGCAGTATATATACTTGGGAAAGGAGTTGGTGGATCACTGTTAAGGAGAACATTCATTTCCAAATACAGCTGGTAGAGTACTTCCGGATTTTAGGAGAATGGGTACATAGTGGATGAGATATGGACAGTGTTCTCAAAAGGCACATGATGGAAAGCTAATCAAGAGCACCATTTCTAAACTTCGGGGTTTTACTGTAATCCAGTTCTGATATTTTTATATTATCTGTTAAAGATAAACAGTATTATAGTAACAATAATACCCAGTGGTGATCCGCAGATGTTTCAATCAAATCCCTCAACTGCAAGTATAAACTTAGTAATTTTTTTGGTGGTTTTTATTCTGGCTTTTTTTGTTGTTGTTGTTGTTTGGGGTTTTTTGGGGTGGTGTTTTTTGTTTTTTGGTTTTTTTTTCTGTTGTTGTGGTGGTGTTTTTTTTTTAAGCCACTGGAACTGTTGAACTGAACACGCACAGAGACATAGACCACACCAACCCCAGCATTTTACATGGCTACTTCTGATAGTTTTTGTTCATTTTGGTCTGTATGTTTTCAAAATGCCTTTTTGGACTTGGACCTATTAAGGATGATGCTTTTTAACACTGACATAAGAGATTAATTAAGCTTATTAGATGTCATTAATGATGCTTATTTGGTGCAGTTCCTTTGCTACTTATCGTTTTTGGTAGTGAAACTCACTAGTTCAAACTTTTGCTTTTGGCTTGAGTAACTGAAAGCATACCTGCTGCTGCTTCTCCACATGCCACTGTTTTTTTCTACTCCTTAGTGAATTATAGTTTGAACTTGCTTTTGGTTTACTCTATAGTGGTAGGTGTTTTTGTCTTTTACAACAGGCATCTGTCCTTGTGCTGGCGAGTACTACATTGTAATAGTGTGAATTTCCAATTATCAGGTGGCTTTAAAGTCCTAGAATATTTTTAGTCAACAGAATGCTGTCTAGCAGATTTTGGCAAAAGTTACTTTGTAAAAATCAGACTTTTAAATGCTGTCTTCTTTATGGCACTTTGGCACAGTTCACTTCCAAAAGTATGACAGCTGAGAACACTATTTTATTGGCTGTTAAATAACACTGAGGTGTTTTTAAAGTGAGCGTCCAACAGAAGCAAAGTTGTTTTGTTAAAGAGCTTTAGCTTATACATTGTCTTAATGCTTCAGCTGCTTTTCTAAACACATTTTTGCAGAATGCAAAGCCTCTGTGCATTAGACATGTTAACTGAGCTTGAGTTACTGATGACAAGCTGGTTTGAGAACAGTAAAATATTTCAAACTGCTACCACCAAAGGAAAAGATGAAACGTGCCTGTTCTATAAATAGCTCCTGTAGTGAGCATACTTTTCTGCCTGCAACACATTTGTTGTCTTTATCTAATAATGAATGAGCTCTCTAACTAAAAAGTGAAATATTGTTCTTGGAGTTGTTTGGAATGGATAAATATTCAAAGGTTCTGTAACTCTGGGTAAAAAAGAAATTTTCCCTGTGAAGGGAAGTACTTGTTTAGGGTGAGGGCTTGGAGGTTTTAGCTGAAGAGATCTTTTCTGCTCCTTTGGACCTGTTAGTGACATGCCATTTTCTTCAAGACCCCAATAAGAAATTGGGGATATAGTATCTTGCTTCTTGACAGATTGTAAGTTACTGCTGATGAACACATTCTAGCAAAGCACAGTGCATCAACTTTTTGCCTGTTCCAATGTTCCATATTGTAGTAGGAGAATATTAGATAGTTAGCCTAAAAAAAAAATTAAAGCTATGTGTTCAGTACTCTGCAGTGCTGAGGGTCAGTGATGAAGGTGTCATATGGTTTCTTGTGGGTTAAATTACAGCAGCCTTACCAGTGCTTCTGAGGTAAAATTTCCTGAATTGTTTTTTCTGATATGGTTAAAACTTTTTAAAGGTCATATTTACACTAACAACAATTTCTTTCTCTGAAAATGCAAACAGACAAAGAGGAGCAAAACAGTGTTTCATAATTAGGATGCATATCCTGGTGTGATAGTTAATACAGAGCTTCTACATCTTTAGCCTGCAAGAGCAGCAGGTGTTTTTGTTTCAACTCCCAGTAAGTTAAGAAGGGTAGGTTAAGTAAGGTGACTGTATTAGTGCTGTCATTGTTTAGACCAGTATCTGTGTTTCTAAATGTTTCTAAATTTTGTGCTTGTAACATGACCTCTTAATAAAAAGCTCTCAGCTGAGAGGGAGCCATGACTTTGTTTCTGTCTAAGAAGTGCAGGGATTTAAGAGCAGACCTGCTCTTTTACTCTGAGTATTTCTGGAGACTTTCATGTTTCCAGGAAGGTTTTAACTTGTTTGAATGCTTAAATATATTGATGAATTAAAAGTGGCAATATTGTTAGAGTAACTGGTTGGTCTGTTTTATTATTACTTTGCATCAGTGCAACAGAAAAGCTTTAATTGGGGATTTTTCTACTGTAATTAATAGGAGTCCAGGTATTTACAAAGAGTAGGAAGGAGTAGGAGCTCATGATGTGAGGGGCACTTCCACGCCCTTTTGCTCAGTGAGGGGTGAGAAAGAGCAAGAACACTGCTTGATCCTGGTCTTGTTCATCCACTGCCTTTTTTCTCTATGCACTTTACACTGAATGCCTCTTCAGCCTTGAGTCCTAACTACTGGGGAAACATCCCGTTGCAAAGTCAGTGTTAGTCAAATACGAATAGGGCTTTCTCAAATAGTCAAAGTCAATACGCATATGGCTTTCTTCAGGGTAGAGTATGAGAGTAATGCTGACTGCATAACCTGCTCTGAAACATACAGTGTAAACAAATGAAAAAACTAATGTATTTTCCTTTTTGTTTCCTGTATAATGAAGAGCTTTTTACATATTATTTGGGATACAGCATTTTGGATTAGAGCTATGTATATATTTCTTCCTCCTCTCCTCCCATGCTTAATCTTCATGTGATAATGCTTCTTTTGTATACTTCTTTATACTTTGCAGTATACTTCTTTTGTATTTCAAAAATATGAGATCATTTTTGACATTGGGGGAGGGTGGGTTCATATTGTTTCCTTTGTAAGTATTTGTTATATAACACTGTACTTGCATCTCAGATTGTATATGTACTTTCCAAATCTCGTGCTGGTACAGCATATGAAATTCAGTTTCATTGTCCTGTGTCTGTGTCTTTGATTTAATGCTTGAGCTGAAATCAATGTCATGCTTATGTAAAATCAAAAAGAAACCCCCATAGTCTGCTATTCAGTGATAAAGCATTGAGAGCTAAGCCTGGGTCTTCATGTTGGACAGACAAGTGGGTTTAGGTTGAATCTTCAGCATTTGAGATCTTGTACTGCAGTGACATATTTGCTGAAGAAAACATCTTGCTTAGGATATACCATGTCTTCTTACAGTACACACAAACCTAGCTCTTTGCCTTGTGCTTGTGAAAAGGACAGCTTATCAGCTTATTACGCTGATGAAAAAATAGGACTATAATGCAAACTGCATAAGCATCTGAAACAGTGCATATATGTCTCGATCAGTATTATAAGTCTGACATGCTGTGTATTGGTAACTGCAGCAGTTTCTATGTCCAAAATGCTGCACAAACATACATAGCTGTTCTGCTGGATCATTTGGGTGATGGTGAGCCTTAGCATGAGCTCAGAATATGTGACTTGTCAGTGAGTCAGCTGGGAGTAGAACCCAAGTTCATGCCACTAGAGTGCACTACTTCCTTCTCACTGAGATAATGCATAAATTTGCTCTTAGGTGCTGCAGGCTCCCTGGTTGCGGGGGGGAGGTTTGGAACATTGCTGGCAATTTACTGAATAGTTCTGTGTTGGTCTTGATGGAATGTTGGTCTACTTCTGCAGCTGTCATTACCAAACAAATAGTTCTCTTGCTGTCAAACTTCTGTGTATGTTGTGATGGAATGACAGAGGGGATTGTAAACTAACTTCATACTCTCCTTTTGATTTTATTGGAGATGAAAGAGGTATGTATGGAAAAAAGTATTAATCATATTTGTAATTAAAGCAGACTCTTTGAGATGTATCATTTTTCATTAACAAAAATTCCTTGATAATGAGATATAATATTTTACATGTATCATTAAGTTCTCTTTTTTCCCGCATAGGTTTTCACTTGAGTGGCACAGTAACAGAGCCTGCAATGCAATCGGAGCCAGAAACTGTTTGCAATGTAGCTATCAGCTTTGATCGTTGCAAGATTACCTCAGTGACCTGTAGCTGTGGAAACAAGGACATATTTTACTGTGCCCACGTTGTGGCACTCTCTTTATACCGGATCCGCAAACCAGATCAGGTCAAACTGCATCTTCCCATTTCAGAGACACTCTTTCAAATGAACAGAGACCAACTACAAAAATTTGTGCAGTATTTGATCACAGTACACCACACAGAAGTTTTGCCAACTGCTCAAAAATTAGCAGATGAAATTCTTTCTCAGAATTCAGAAATCAATCAAGTCCATGGTGAGTTTGATGCTTGTCCTTCCTTTTGCTTCATTTCCTCATAGGTTTTGAGCTTTTTTTGTACATTCAAGAGTGTGACCTGCCTGGTTATCTTCCATGCTGAATTATTCTGTGTTCCAATGGTATTTACTAAAGAGGATTCTTCTATTGGACCTTCATTTTAAGATATTTAGAAAATGATACTCGGAAAAGAACTCACAAGCAATGACCTTGATGTTTTCAGCAGTTCAGTTAATAAGTGACCTGCTCTGCTTCATGCTTGAGTTTTCCAACTAGTTAAAACTGAGTAGTGGTGTTCTTAAAGGAACTGCTTAAAGGAACTCTTTTATCAACTTACCAGTGGTGTCTTGTTACTTTGTTCTTTGTACTAGTTTTCTGACACTTTGATTGTGGAGTTTTGTTTTAACAACAGAGCATAAAAGCAAGTAGATGTTACTGTTATGTCATTCATTAAATACAGTTCTATTAAGTTTTGGGATTTGGTTTATTTATGATGTCAGAAGAAACATAAAAACTGTATTTTGATGGTTTTTTTTCCTGTTGGTGCTGCAGCAGTTACAGCTTAGCCAAGGTCTTGATCTTTCCTGGTCTCTCTGCTGCACATGATTTTAATGGCTGTTTTTTGCTGTGAGCAGCTTTTATATGTTAAAGGGTGCTGAGTTTGACTTGAGGCTTCTGACATGGCTTTCTTATGGGGCCTGCTGAACTGAGAGTGTGTAGTTGTGGGTTTGAGGTGACCCAGCTAGTTTATTAGAGTCCTGTGTTCTTGTAAGGTCACCTGGTAGAAATGTCCTCTCAGATGGCCAGATAAGTATAAGGGTGACTTAGAGGGGAAGAATAAGTTACCTAATATCTAAAAATATCTTCTTTTCTCTGTTTTTTTTATTGACAGGAACAGGTCTTGTGTTAAATATTTGAGGTATGACCATTACTCAAAGAACTTAAAATACAAACAGAACCAAGATGCTTAGTTATTAAGATAAAGAAAACCATGGGTATGTTAGTTACAGTGTAGGCAGAAAAAACCCATTCTTTTTAATAACAGGATTCATCTGTAGCTTAAACGTTTTCCTTGTGCTTCTGTGACCCTAACAGGCCCAGATGCATGATGCTGCAAGAAAGTGATTTTCAGGAGCAGTGGTCTTTTTTGGCACTGGGGGCTATGGGGTTGTGATCAGGGGCAAGGCAGTTGCTGTAGGTTTTGAATGTAATGGTGACAGTGGAAAGGAAGTGAAAATAAATGAGAGGACATTAAGCAGCAGAGGAAAATGCTCATATGTTATGAGCTGAAAGTATGTTAACCTGAACACTGGTGAGCAAATGGGTAAGGAAGAATTAGGGTAAGAGAAGGGTACAGAAGATTCAGTGAAGGGTGATTAGAAAAGGGGAAGGCAAGGGTGGGACACAAAAGACAGGTGTTACAAATGTCTGTATACTATTGCCAATGTAAGAGAAATGACAAGCTGTTACAGACTTAATAAATGTGAACTCTATAAATTAAACTAATCATAGGCATGTTAGTCTTTGTTGGCTGTTTACTGTCAGAAATTTGCTCTTGACAGTATTGCTCATTATTATATTAAGTAGTTTTGGAGAAAGATTTGAGATTTGTATCACTGAAAATAGCAAAATGTTTTTTTATTTCCTATTCTAAGTTGATGATCAGTTATGACATTTTGCATAGAATTTGAGTAGGTTAGTTTAAAATAATAAAAAAACCTGTAATGTTTCTTCCATATGTTGCTGTCTTCTAATAAGTGAGATTGCAGCATATCTTTATTGATTATTTTCTACGAAAATGCCAAAAGCCAAAATAGAAGATTCAGGAAGAATAAGAAAATGAACTGCTATTACCAAAGGAGACAGGGTTGTAAAGGACTTTATATAGTTTCCTGCTTTTCTTCTCAGACTCACATAAAACTGAAGTTTTTGGGGTTTTTTTGTTCACAGTACAAAAAAAATTACATAGTTCTTGTAAGGAAAAAGTGAATTCTTCTGTAGAGAAGTGTTCTTCTGGGATTCATATTGTGATTCTGTTCTTTTGATCTTTAATCAAATTCCTTAGATTAAAAACAATACAGTTAACAAAAAACTCTATGAAAAATAACAAAAAAAAAGTTTCTGATTCTAATGTCATAGGTTGATGAATGTAAGGTTGCCATTTACTCTGTCATATAGCCTGTGCTGCAAATGTTGAGTTTGTAGCACAAAGCTGCCTTGTATACTTCTCTTGCTTTGAACAGTTTGACCTCACTGAACTGCTGTTTGAAGAGAAGTTAAATTAAATTCTACTTCAAGGCAAAGATAAGTGAGAAGAAAAACTTGGAAAAACTAGTTTATTGAAAGTAGAGGAGACCTGGTACAGAAACACCTCAAACAGCTTTGATTAAGAGAAATTCTGAATCTGGAGTTGGATGGGGAAATTCTTTTCAGTGTTGCCTAGAGGTAGTTTAATTTCAGTATTATTCTATATAAGACTTCCATTCTTTTGTTTTATTTTTCCTCCGTGGTCACTGTACTAGTTTTAATTTTCCTATTTTTTCAATGATATGCAAAAAAAGTCAACTCTTGGATAGTATTTTTTTGTATGTTTGAATGGTCTGGGACTTGGAAGAGCTTTGATCACAATTGTCTTGTCATCCTTATGAGCTAGCTCATGAGAGAGGTGATTAGATGAAATAACATCAGTGCTCTTCTTTAAAGAAAAAGCTAATTGTATAATGTTTCACCTGCTCAAAACTCTGTGTTTTGCAGCATTCAATGACTGTCTTTGGCCACCTTTCAGGAGGTTACTGGGGGAATTAATGAAATTACCTAGATACAGGTTTATAATAACCAATACCTTTGAGTTTCTTGATAGACAAAAATGATGCAATATCCTTTCCTGCTTCATGACTGAGCCTCACTGCAGGAAGAAGTAAAAGGATGCTGTTAAAATCACAAGAATGTGTTGGCTAGTCACTAACTTCTTCAGGAGACACAAGTGATTTAGTAGGAGTATTTTTCTGTATTTGCCATGCTATTTTGACTTGGTGGTTATTGCAAGAGTGCTCTGCATATTTTTAGACCACAAAAGCAGCTCTTATTTTTGAGAAGATACTGTGTTCTGATTTTTTCACATGACAGTGTTACAGCTGTTCATGTTACTGATGACCTCAAAACTGGAGTTTTGTGGTGTGTAATCCATACTGAAGGCAACTGCACATATTAATACCCTTCCTGGTGTTTGTACTGCAGAACTGCTAGCTTCACATTGGATTTTGATTTAGGTATGCTCTCACAGGAAGCTGGATGTAGTTTTGGGACTTACTTAGCTGAGGCTTTTTTCCTCCCTTCTAATTTTTGTACCATTGTAGGAGAGAAAGTGTAGTCTAGGAAGAGAGCAGTCGAGATGACAAAAGATTGTCAGCTGGATTTGTTATCTTAGATCTGCCTTTTCATAGGTATGAAACTCTCACTTCAGTAACTTAATTGGAAGGTCAAACTGTGTTCATGAGAATTTGAGTGGAAGTAGCAAAATTACTGTGGGATGGGTGCAGGGAGAGAGGGAAGGTCTGTTTTTATATTAGTCTTGTATTAACATTGGATTTTTATTATGTGCAGAGTGAAAAGGGGTCTGCTGGTTTTGGTGTAAGGACAGCCTGGCAAACTTACTTAATTTTTACCTTTTAAGCTGTACTGTTTCTTTTCCTGAGTGTTTACTGCTGCTGTTGCAATCTCTGCTCTTGGAGGAACTATATGGATTTCTTTAGACTTTCTGCCATTCTCTGATTCTCCCAACTCACAGTAAAAGTCACTTGCCAGTACAGATCCACATACAGGTGAACTCGAATTTAAGATATAGGGTCTGGGAAGAAGCAGCTGAAGTATATTCATCTTCTGAGAAGAACAGGCAGCTTGTTTCTCTATTTTTTCTGCATTTGTCCAAGCAAGTGTGGGTACATCCTCAGCAAATGTTACTTTCTGATGTATATTAGCAGTGCTGGAGGAGGCATTCAAGAAGAAAACATCTATTAAAAAAGCTTTCAAAGAAAATTTCAGAATATCTAATATTGTTCCTATAACTATTAAGTTCAAAGGGGCAATTTGGAGGTACAGGTTAATATTATGTATTTAGATGTACTTAATGTATTTAACTGGAATGATGGGGGTTTTAGTAGAAAATTGTGTGTTAGGGTAGAGCTGAATAAAATGTATTGCTGATCTAGTAAAAAGAATGTGTAATGTTAAATTAAAAGTTATGCAATCTTTTACATGCCCCTGCCTAAAGTGCAAAATTGATTGTGAGTCTAACTGCAAAAGAAGAATGCAGGAAATGGCAGGTGAATTTCCTTTCAAGAAGAATGAAAGTGAAGTGCTTATTATGCGAATTATTTGGTGAGCCAGATCTGGGGAGGAAGTAAGAGTAGCCAAAACTAGAGAAATTCAAGAAACCTAACTAAATGTAAATAAATTGTAGAATGTAAAAATAAAAAGACTGGTAGCTGTAAAGTAACATGAAGAATAATTTATGAAACTCAGGTTTTAGGAAAGGTTTTTTCCGATACACTAAACATAAATATAAAACTTGTTACAAAGAAAATAGATTTTGCTAAAATATATGGAAGATAAATAATAAAGTATACTTATCTATGCTGATAAAGTTCTATCTACCATGAACTAATAAGTTTTGAAACACACAGCTATATGATGATGTGGATTTTTGTGAGATGCGGTTTTTAGCAGGAGAGGTTGGATATTGTTAGTGAATAATACAGCATGTTTGGCTGCATATACAAAGGAAATACAGAAATTTTTGAAGTTAAAAAACCTGTTGGGATTTAATTAACTTTCCTCAGCAACTTAACATAGTCTTCACATTTTGTGTTATCGCTGACCCCTTCATAGCATTTGCTGTTTTCCTTTGGTGCTGTGAGCTGCTGAATAGGTGTTAAATAGTTCACCCAAAAGTCCTGAAGTTATGTGACTTATGTGTAAACTTGGAATCATTTGGGGAATCAAAGACATAATAATATTTTTGAATAATTATTTTGATGATATTTGGTTTTATGTAATTATTGTTTAAAATAATTCAAGTATATTATGTTTTTAAAATCAATCACTATTCTGTTGTGAATCAGCATGTAGCAGTATTGGTTTCTAGATGGGTTTCTTTAATTCTGTCTTCACATAATACTCATTGTCATGCTTTTTATTTGTAATAATTTCTCCATATCTTCTTCCTAATGCTGCCATGGGATGACATTTTATTAAATGTAACTGATCTACAGTTCATTTGTATACTTAAATTAATGACATTTTTATTAGAAAGTTCAAGAAAATATCAGTGTGGATGGCTACAAGTGAATAATTTGGCATGGTTTTATTTGAAGTCAACACTTGTGGTGCTTCAGGAATAAGGATCAGGGAAGCAGTTTGCTTTGTGTTTTCCAAATCTCCCTGTTGATCTGCCCCTGAGTAGTTGGAAATATAAGAACTTCTTCGTCTATTTTTAGTCATTGCACCCTACTTGTTTCTATTTTGTGAGGTTAAGTTCTTCATGAACAGCATCAGTTCTTAAACATGGTTGCTCATTTTGAAAACAGTTGCTTTTAAATGCAATGTAAATGAATGAAGTGTTTGTTTTTTTTAAATTCTTTTGCTTCTTAAACTTGAAAGTTGATTATATTAAACATGCAACCTGCTATGACACTAAATGTAAAAGGCCGGTACCCTGTTTTCAAATACTATTAGGTGTTCAGTGTCTCAAACAGTTGTGCAGAACATTTGACTGCTAAGATTGCAATTTAGTAATTATAGTAAAAGAGCATGAGTAAGTATATATGGCTGTGTCTGTATACTGGGTATGAAGACTTTATTTATTGTGTTGAACTGTATGTACATGATATACAGTGTATTTCAAAGACCAGTCAATGCAGAAGTTTAAAAAGCCAGAGGCTGGGGAGAAGGAGATTTATATATTAGTTTATTGTCTACAAACTGACACGCTTTAATTACAGGTTTTAATATTAGTATAATTATACAGTACTTCTCACTTTCATAGTTCAAATGTGAACTCATGTATCCTCATGACATCTCTCTAAAGCACATGAGTAACACTTATCCCCAGGTTACAAGTGGGAAACAGGGTTTAGCCTTTGTACCAAAGTGTCCTGCAGAGTTTAAATTCAGGGCTGCTCCTGTTCCTCTTTCCTCTCTGCAGCCAAGTTGTCCTTCTGCCAAAGCCTTGCCAATGTCTGTTCAGGGCCGTGCCACGCCCCAGGCGAAGCTGCTGCCTTTGGGTTGAACCTTCAGCTCTGCCTATTCAATGCTGAACCTGAGCCTTCCTGACAGCTACTGTTAGGGCTTCTCACAGCCCCTAAGGCAGCTTCCTCCTCTGGCTCATTCAGATAGTTCCTTACCGATTCACCCAGTCCTATGTTTTCAGAAGAGAAAGCCAGTGTAGAAATCCCATCCATATCTGTTTGAGTGGGAGAGGAAACAGGCTAGATGAGTCACCTGGATGTAGGTGAACCTAGTGAACTTGAAAAGTGCCCAGTTGAGAGATGTGGAGGATGGTCATGTCTTGACCCCAAAACAAGAATGGTAAGCAGCAGAAGCTGAGTCTTCTCCAGCAGCATCAGTAGAATGCCTGGCTGCTGCCTTGGTGGGAAGGTGGCTGGACTTGTGCCTGATCAGACTCAGTGTCTCCATGCCGCAGTTATTGCTGAAGACTGCCAGCAGGGTTGAAAGATGAGTGAATTCCAACTGTAGCTGGTGCTGGTTATATATACACTGAAATTTCTTTAGAATTAAAAATTATGATCATACTGAATGTTGCCTATGTAAGATCTTGTAAGAAAGAAAATCATTCTGAGTCAGAGTATTTGTAAACTGTACTGAAGAGCGCAGTAGGGAGCAGACTCTTGGCATCTTCAGCTTTTACAGTTGTCTGGCCTAACGGCTTGCAAATAACACTGGTGTGAATATAGTGATATTGTGCTCCTGGTTAAGATATATTTGGGATTGTACTGGCAGGAGTAGTCTTGGTGGAAGCAATGCTGGTGGCCCTGGGTAACAGGCGCACTTATTTTTGTAAAAGAAACCTGTTGTTAAAAGCATCCATGGTAGCTGTATTGCTTTTCTAACCTTGTAACACAAAATGTCAGGTGAGCTTTTGATAAAGTGTAAATAGTTGCAGAAGGATTTTTTTTTCACCCCCTAAATAGGGAAGCTTACCCAAGGAATATTGGGCTATTTTTAATTCAGTTTGAAAATAACCAAACCAAGATTATTTAAAGATAAATCTCTACTGAAGTAAGGAACAAATTTAAGTGTATTTTGTATACTGTTGCTTTTTATATAGTTCCTCTTCACCCTCTTTGTGTTTTAGAGCAATGAAATATTTAAACTATTTGCAAGGTGATACTGCAGACCTGGGGCTGTGCAACAGCTGCACTGCTTATCCTTGTGTGGCTTGATTTTCCTTTTTATCTTGTTCTTTGCAACCAAAGACTTATCAGTATGTGTTTCATGTAGCTGACAGAATTTAAAACCCTTTAAAACTAATACATTGAAGAGAGAAACATTTGCAGAAGAGCAAGTTTCTGATTCCTTGGTTTTTATGCTGTCTTGAACTTGATTCCTGTATTCTGAGATAGTTTTGTGTTCCTGTGGAAAGCAGGAGAGTTTATTCACACCTCCAAAGACACAAATTCTTATTAATTAAACACTTACATGTATATATATATACAGCAGTGCAGTGTTCCCAGCTTTAGGCTGTGAAATTGAGGCAGTTTAAGAAGCTACTGAGCTGGAACATCTTTTTGTTTACTGTCTCAGCAATTTGTAGATAAGACATCCCTCTGACCCTCTAAATCTTCTGTTTGTATTTTCATTGAATAAAGAGTTCAGCATTTCATGTGATCACTTAAAAGTTTCATCTTCATGGCAGAGCTGCAATTGTGAAACAAAGGCTTGAGTCAATAGAATCATTGGGTTTTTTCCCCCTATACATCGTAGAGTTGTAGCTATTTTGCTTTTTTAAGTTTTTAGAATTTCTATTAAAAATCCCAGCTTTTTAGAAGTTAATGTAATTTTCCTTCCCTGGCACTATTTTCTTTTTTCTACAGAGGTAACATAGACACACATTTCAATGAGAGAGATTGTTGAACGTGATTCAATTTCTGTAACATCTTCGCAAAACATAGTAGAAATAGAGGTTATGCAGCTGTGATAAGTTCAAAATTAAAATGTGAAGTCAACTTGAGTCTCAGCCATGCTTAAAATAGCTGATATGTGGTATGGTGATACCCAACCTTGAGCTGAATCTCACACTCTTGATAAGTACTTTTCATCTTTTTCAGTTTGAAGACCTTTTAAAAAATGTCCAGTGGAGGTGCAGGGTTCTTCAGAAAAGTACAGTTTACTAGATGGTACAAGAACATGTTTTAGTTAAGTTTGTAATTTTTTAGGAGAGGGAACATCACTGGTGTGATCTGCAAAAGCTGCATTATGGCAAACTGTGGCCAAAGCACTGCTGGATGTGAATTTCATTTGACACTGGGCTAATGCAAGTAGAGTTGCTCTAAATTGACTCTGTGCAGATGGCATTGCCTATGTAAAAATGCTTCCTTTGAAAGCAGCATAGTCTCAAGTATCTGTACCTCTTACTTATGATGGAAATGCCTTTAGTGCTGTAAGACTTTGGATATGTTTGGGGATTTTTTTTACTCTTTGTTTAGCTTTGCAGAGCCATCACAGCTCAGAGGCACCAAGGTGATGATTCTTCTCATGTTCATCAATAGCAGCGCTCACTAGCAGTCACTTAAACCTGAGCAAGATTGCTGAAGGTACAGGAATTACACAGGTGTTTTGGGGAGAGTGGTTTTAACATCACAGTGGTAGAAATATAATTAAAAGTCTTAATTTTCCTTGTGAAATCATTCTAGTGTAGCTGCTGAGATGGGAGGAAAAACCCTTACCTTGATTCTAATGTTTTGTTAGAGAAGAGAATATTATGTATTTAAATGCCTTTTGATAGGTATAATTTCTAAGATTTTAAGATTTCAGAGAAGAAATTTAAGTTTATTTTAAAGACTGTTTAGATTAAAATCAAGCCATCCAAAACAGAAGACACAAAAAAACCCCTCTGCAGTAGTATTCTCCCTTGGACTCAAGAATCTCTCTTCTTCACATAGAACATAATGATTTCTTTTCTTGCTGTTTGCAGGTGCTCCTGACCCAACAGCAGGTGCTAGCATAGATGATGAAAATTGCTGGCATTTGGATGAGGAACAAGTCCAAGAACAGGTTAAACTCTTCCTTTCCCAGGGTGGATACCATGGATCAGGGAAGCAGCTCAATTTGCTTTTTGCGAAGGTGTGTTGAGTACTCTGAACCTTTTTTCTTTCCCCTGTTCTCCAAGCCAGTCTGTACTTGCATCTTACTCAGAGTTCTAGATTCTACTGCTCTAAAATAACACAAAGCCTTGGGAATACAATGGCAACTTGACAATGAGGTGTGCAGCAGTGGACTACGATCTGATGTGTCTTGATCGTTGTAAGGATATGAAGTAACACTTCAAGCTTCTACAGCTTTGCTGTTCTCTTCCTCCTTCCTACCCCCAAAATGTTGGAAAATCTTACAGCAGTTTGTATAATACACCTGTGGATTGCTTGTGGAAAAATTCTCTGAAGAATTGCAATTGGATACTGAGCCCAAAATTTTGTTAAAAATTGGGAAGGCAGACTGTTTTTTCTACTTAAAAATTTCCCATCACACATATAAATTGCATTTCTAACTTAGCAAAAGGGGAATATTTAACACTGCAGCATATTGTCTGTACTGCAATTTCTTTGCTTCTTTCAAGTTTGTATTAAAAGACTCGTTTCCTAGGTGCGAGAGATGCTAAAAATGAGAGATTCAAATGGAGCTCGCATGTTGACGTTGATAACAGAACAGTTCATGGCTGACCCCCGTCTGTCGCTTTGGAGACAACAAGGAACTACAATGACTGACAAGTATAGGCAGCTCTGGGATGAACTGGGTAAATTCACAGACTCATTTAGGTGTTCATATATATAATAAAGAACAATTACATATTTGGAGTTGAGAAAACTTCTATTGTGGTTTTAGGCTAAGCAGATTAGAGTTTTCTGCAGTTTTCTTTTATTCAGTTATGTTTGGGTAAAATCAAATTTCTGATCTACAGCATGAGACAGTTACATTTGAAGGAGTGGGAACGTGGTGTAAAAAAAGTACAATTCCAACACTTTTTAAGTACTAGAGGATGTGGAAAGAATAAAACAAAAAGTGGAAATGTAGCTACACAGCTGAGGTGTACATAAGCCTCTAGTGCTAAGCTGAAAAGGTTGAGGAAGAAACTGATTCACAATTAAAGAAGTCAATTACTGAGCAAGAAAGGAGACAAAATACAGAATACTAACAATTAACATTGCTTTACAGAAGACGTTACCTGATACATGACTTCATTGGTCAATTAAGAGAATAACACAGGCTGAAATGGGAAAGGTATATTTGAACTGATGAGATCGGAGGACACTTGCCTGTAAAGTACTCAGGAGCTCACTAATACAGTTTTGAACAACTATTTCAGAAATTTTCAAGTTCTATAAAAATCTCATTACAGGATAGTAAAATGGTTTGGGTTGGAAAGGACCTTAGAGACCGCCTAGTTCCAACTTCCCTGCCATGGACAGGTACAATTTTCACAAGACCAGTTTGCTCAGAGCTTCATCCAACCTGGCTTTGAAACACTTCAAGGGATGGGGCATCCACAACTGCTCTTGGCAGATGGTACCAGTGCCTCACCACCCTCACAGTAAAGAATTTTTTTCCTAATACTGAATCTAAACTTTCCAGCTTTCACTGTAAAGCCATTCCCCTTTGTATGATCACACATGCCTTGTAAAAAGGCCCTCTTCAGCCTTCTTGTGGGTCCCCTTTAGGTACTGTAAGGTGCTCTAAGCTCTCCCCAGAGCCTTCCCCAGGGTGAGTAAACCTGAGCTCTCTCAGCCTTTCCTTGTATGGCCAGTGCTCTGTCACTCTGGTCATCTCTGTTGCTCTTCTCTGGACCTCCTCCAACAGGTCCCTGTCCTTCCTGTGCTGTGACCCCAGAGCTGATGCAGCCCTGCAGGTGGGGTCTCAGCAGAGCAGAGCAGAGGGGCAGAATCCCCTGCTGCCCACACTCCTTTGCATGCAGCCCAGAACGTGTTTGGCTCCCTGGGCCCTGAGTGCCCATTGGCTGGATCATGTCCACCCTCTTACCCACTAGCAACATCAAGTACGTTGCTGCAGGGCTGCTCAAAATCCCTCCCAGCCTCAGCCTGTATTGGTACAGGGTGTTATCTGGAGGAAAAATCAATACAACTTGAATGTGAATATTGACAGTATTTCAAGATGGCAGAGTGAGAGGAAAGATAGAAAGTAACCACAAGCATTGCTTTCGTAGATATAAAGTACTGTAACAAACTACTAACTAGTAGATATGCAAGTGTGTGGGAGATTAAAAATAACCTGAATTATTTAAAATACAGTGGAAAATCTAATTCATTCCTCTGAATGGTAATTCACGGAGTGTATGAGTGAACGTATTAACATGTCTGTCTTAGCATTCCAAACCTTACTACAGGTGTCTTGGAGGCTTTCCTAAAGCAAACTGAAGGACAGACGTGACCTAAATGGAACTGTATTGTGTTTCATGGAACTTGGAGTAGAAACCTGTGTTTTCATTCTGGAAAGGCTTTTCAAGTCTAGGCTTAAAGAAGTCTGTTTTGATGTGTTCTGATCAGTATGGCTGTGCCTGACTTACATGGCAGAAAACATAAAAACATGTAATAACAAACAAGCAAAAGTTTACAGATGATGTCCTATGAGACATTATGTAAGTAGTGCTCTTAATGTAATTTAAAGGTCCTAAGTCAAGCTAAATGAAATCAAGTCCAAGTAAGAGTAATATGCTTAATTTAGAGAAGTCTCGAATGCAAAACTTAACTTTTGCACTCATAGAGGTCAAAAATGATCATGATTGAATCACATACCAACTGGTGGGATAAGATTAGATATAACCTGTATAGCAAAAATTATGTTCACTCTAGTTGAAGCACTAGGCTAGTAAACTGCTAACTATCTATACTTCTGTGATCAAAATCCTTGATATCATAGAAGGCAAAGCTCTGTTGGAGTCTAGAAACAAATACAAGTTTAACCACCATTTTTATGATCCCTTGTTTTTGCCAAAAAATAACAGTTTTGCCAAGCAAGGCACATTCCCAGCTGTACCTGTATGGAACAAAATTGTATCCCATGATACTGAAACTTGGAGGGTTTCATGCTTCATTGCTTATGTGTGTTGAGGTGGTAGATGGTGGGAGAAGCAGAAATGAGTTCTCCATCTGTTATCTGTAGCAGTCTTGCCACATGCTGTCAATAAACAAAAAAGTTTTTTTAAAACTTTTGAAGTGGCTCCTCTTGTTTCATCAGTTGTCTTTAACATAATTTTCTTGACAACATCTGTCTGAACGTAGAGGAGGTGGAATCTATCTGTCTGCAGCATCAAATAACAAATTCTTTTGGATTAATTGAATTTAGTTTACCTCTATTTAATCAGAATTCTAGATGTCTCTTCTAAAAAGCAGCCTTACCACTACCTGAGCTGCTGTCTTTGCAGTCTGAGGCAGACCATATTGTTTCAGTTCTGGACTGCTCTGTCACCTTTTACAAGAATCAAAATATGTTGATCTTGTACCATGGTTTCAGTTGAAAATACACTTCAGTCACACCAGGTGGGCAGTAGGCAAAGGATAGAACTTAACTTGGTTCTTCCATCTCCAGATAGTGTCTGTGATTCTAAACTATTTTGTCTCCCCACCGATAGGATATCTTGGTTCCTTCCAGTGGTGCATAGCAAGTTAGGATATCGTGGTTCCTTCCACTGGTGCATAGCAAGTTGCTTCCAAAATGCTGTTAATTGTGTGAATTGCTCCAGATTAATTTCTTCCTGATGTGAAGGCCACAAGCTTCTGCAGTGTTTTTGCTAGGATCTTATTTTGCTTGAGTTTCCCTGTTTTTACATTAAACATTGCTTTTTCCATGTGGAACTTGCATCTCAAACAAACAAACAAAAAAAGTGAATGTATAAAAAGTTCAAATAGATTTTAAGGCGGACCAGAGTTACAATAGCGGAGTGCAGAGGGAAAATCAGGGTGGCCCCAGCAACATATGGTTTGTTCTAGTAGAAGAGGTAACTCAGACACTTAGTTAAAAGGAGTAATGCTATGATGTTACAAAGTAATGTTGGCTTGTTATCTTCTAGAGTGTCAGAGAACCAAAATATTAATGGAGGGTGTGAGACACAAACCTCTGCATATTTAATGTTTTGTATTACCTGTTCAGAGTAATCTGGGAGAGGGATAAGAGGGATATATATATATATATATATATATATATATATATATATACGTCTTTTAAGAAAATCTTTTAGCTGTACTCTCGTGTATGTCACAGGTAGGTAGCCATTTGTTGTAGCTAGGAGAATTTTAGTACATATAAATACAGACTCTGCATAATAAAGGCTCTCTTGCTTGCCTTGGTATGCTGTCTGCCAACTGCTGGGCATATGGCCACTTCATCAGTTCCATCTTGGCATAGACTTTTAAGCATACTTAAGTAACTTCAGCTTTGCTCCTTGACTGGGTCATTTAAGTGATGCTTCCTTCCTGGCATTGGGTGTTGGCAAGGGTAGTGAAAGGACACACTGAGCTTTGATTATAGTTCACGTTCAAGTTTGTGGTAAATTGCTGATTTCAGTAAAAGTCAGTTTGGGTTTGAATGAAGGTGTTGATATAAAGACAACAACAGTGAAACCTTGCACACCTAAAATAAAAATGAAAAAAACCCTAAAAATCACCGAAACATCCACTCAAGACCCCCTAATGAAATACTTTAGGTGTAAATATGAATCTGGCAATTTTTTATTACAAAGTACAAAGTCCTAATGATTCAAAAGCATCATGTTAAGAAAAAAAGGCCTTCCACATAACTAGGCAGTTGTTTTTTAATACCTCTAGATAGGGGGTAAGAATATAATTGCCTAGCAGATTTCCCTGTTCTACATCAAGGAATGGGATGCGCTATATGCTATATATTAGAACCTATTAGAAAGGTTACAGGTCAGAGCTCTAAGGCTTGCTCAGATACTTCTCAGACTAGGAGAATTTAGATGCAATTTCAGTGATGCACTGGTGATTACTTCAAACTCACCACAGTAATAAGTGAATTCCACTTTGCAGAGTTTAAAGCAGAGTTGGAATTCTTCATGTTGCTGTTTAAATGATATCCCAGTATATAAATTTCACATACTGATCTTTAGGTGTTTGACTCATGGTGACCATGGTTGAAGAGTTTAGGATGTCATAATGATTAATTATCTGAAGCCCCTTGATTTGCCTTTGACTTAAATTGTATTGGTAAGATGGAGTATGGAAATGCACAGTAAATACCTGCTGATACCTGTTGAGCTGAGATCTCTGATTTGAAGGAAAGCTTTCTTGTAGTCTAGGGAGAAAAGGAATGAACTGTCTAGTCTTAGTAGATGGGTAAGTCATTAATACTCATCCATGAAAAATAAAGTAGAAGTTGCTTGTTCTCATCAAAAATGAAAAGATTTTCCTAAAAAAAGGGGGGAAATTGACTTTGTACTCCAACCCAGGTATCATGATGGCTGTGAGGCTCTGCTTTGGAATTAAATGTTGAGCTCTGCCAGACGCTGGGAAGAGACTGTTTGTTGGCAAATGGGATCTGCAAGTTAATTGGTGTTTTCTGCAGGCTTCTGGCTGTGAAGTGAAATTGGAAGCCTTTTAGCCACATGGATAATACAGGACCTGAATACAAAAGTCACATGTCACCATCAGGGCCCACTGTGAAACAATAGTGTTCCCACTTGAGCACTGTGCCATTACAGATGGTTTAAATATGGGGATTGCATTTAAACTAAAAGCCCCATTTGCCTCTTACTGCAATTTAACA